AAAGGGTATTAGAACCTAAAATTTTAGGGTTAGCAGCTTTAGACATTGAAGTTTCGAATGAGCAAAAAAAATCGAAAAAAAAAATTTTATCGAGTGCCTCGTATATTGAAGCGATGCTCGATCAGCTCATGGAAGCTCTCTTAATAGAGAAATCTGCTTTTAATCGAACATTTTCCACAAAGAAGAAAACGCAAAAGAGTGTTCTAGAAACTGAACAGTTTGTTTTTGTTTGTTCTTTTTCGAAATTTCTTATTGTTAGACTATCAACAGAAAATTAACAGTATTATTGAAAATCAGTTTAAAGTATTATAGTTTAATGTTGTTTGTAGGAAACTACATTTGTCACATATTCATATACACAGTATCAGATAGTGTTTCGAACTGTTTTTTTCCAAGTAGAATCGTACGAAACATAAATTATTTTCATGCCATCGAATTTTCTATAGAAATGTTATGTAATAAAAAACGAAATTAGCAGTGTAGTGTTATTTTCAGAAATAATGTTTAACAAGGCACATGCGCATTGATTTTTTGTTTTATCTATAAAAGAAAAAATAAATGGATGAGAAAAGTAGCAGAAGAGTAGCCCAGGTCCAAGATTTCGGCAACCGGATCCCGCAAAAAAGATATGAAAAAGTCGCCGTATCCTGCAGAAAAACACCAGAAATTGCTCAAACGTGGAAGCAGTATCCCGATCGGAAAATTGCATCCATGCTTAAGCGATTTCTGATGTTTTTATGCCGGAACTGGGTCGTACAGCTTGATTTGGAAGAATTCGAAAAGATTGATAACAAATTAAAAATAAAAGACTGAAAGTAGTAGCATCAAGAAGGAAAGAAGAGTGATTGAATAAATAGGACCAACGATTGCCATAAAAAAACACTAGTTTCACTTTGAATTCAGAAGTTTTTTAGATCGATAAAATGTCTTTAAGAATGGAATAAAGCCAAAAAAGAGTTCAACAGACGGGATTTATCGTAGGCGCTCCGAGGTTGAAGCATAGACGAACACGCTTGTAGGTCTCTACTCTGGTCAATTGATTAGTATAACCTGGTCCATTATCGCACTCGATAGCGCCGTTGATGATGCGCGTCGTAGAAGCAAAATCACCTATTTGAGCTGGTGCAGCCATACCATTTGCATTATAGAACCAGAGAGCCGTGCTTACCGCTAGCTGAGGATCATTTTCGACCTTATCTGGATCTGCAAGAAGATCAACGCCAAGAGACTGACCGGCAGAGTAATAGTTACATGGCCATGAGAGCTGAAACCAACCTCGACCATAATACAATTTTCCTGGTGCACCTGATATACTACACCAAGAGCCACTGTACTGTGGGCCACAATCTAGTTTACGAGAGAAACATTAAGTTTTTCAGTTTGAACAAATTCAATATTCAAAAATTATCAATTTTCACTTTTCGACAGAATCGAATTCAAAATATTCTTTATATTGTTGTGGAAAAATCTTGAATCTATACGTTCTGATAAAAATCGATTGAACAGTTGCAAATGTCAACTTCATCGATGAGAAAGTAAGAAATGTTGAAATTTTACAAAAATAATTGATCAACTATTTTTAATGTCTTCACTTTCTATACTACAAATAATTTTCAGTAAATCAATATCCGTATTCACAAAGAAGCTGGTCTCATAATACGCTCTCAGGAATCCCTTTGTTTAATATTCAAAGATATGCTCGTTATACAACGTGTTTTAAATGTCTTAACACATTCAATAGTTTAGAAAAGCATACCTGGAGCGCAGTATTCTCGCATTGTCTTGAGCCCATCTGTCTCATGAAATACATGTGCAAGGAAGACAGCAGCTTCGTTGTTGTTCACCGGTGTCCATCCTGTTGCCTTTAGTCCATCGAAACGGGTAGCACGTAATGTAGAATTGATCGTGTTGAATACACAGGCAAATGTAATGTTGTCAATAATGCTACCTGAACCACTTCCAATACTGCTACTGCTTATAGTCGTAGTAGTTCCCGTGCATGGACCCGATTGACAACCACTACCACAATAAGCTGATCCCGTCCCACAGTAACCCCATTGAGACAAACATAAGCTTGGATCAGTACAGGTCATGCCACCTCTTCTGGTGGTACTAATTGTAGTCATGGTAGTTTTAGCTTTGGTTGAAGTAGTTTTTACTTTTTTCGTGGTAGTTTTAGCTTTGTTCGCAGTAGTTTTTGCTTTATTTATGGTAGTTTTAGCTTTAGTAGTAGTAGTTTTGACTTTTTTCCTGGTAGTTTTAGCTGTAATCATAGAAGTTCTCATGCATGGACCCGATTGACAACCACTGCCACAATAAGCTGATCCCGTCCCACAGTAACCCCATTGAGACAAACATAAGCTTGGATCAGTACAAGTGACGCCACCTCTACTGGTGGTACTAATTGTAGTCACGGTAGTTTTAGCTTTGGTTGTAGTAGTTTTGACTTTTTTCGTGGTAGTTTTAACTTTATTCATGGCTCTTGGATCTGTAGTCGCGGTAGTTTTAGCTGTAGTCATGGTAGTTGTAGTCGTGGTAGTCTTCGTTGTAGTCGTGGCAATTTCAGTTGTAGTCATGGCAGTTTTAGTTGTAGTCATGGTAGTTTCAGTTGTAGTCGTGGTAGTTTTAGTTGTAGTCATGGTATTTGCAGCTGTAGTCGTGGTAGTTTTAGTTGTAGTAGTTGCAGTTGTAGTCGTGGTAGTTGCAGCTGTAGTCATGGCAGTTTTAGTTGTAGTCATGGTAGTTCCAGTTGTAGTCGTGGTATTTGCAGTTGTAGTCGTAGTAGTTTCAGTTGTAGTCGTGGTATTTGCAGTTGTAGTCGTGGTAGTTTTAGTTGTAGTCGTGGTAGTTGCAGCTATAGTCATGGTAATTTTAGTTGTAGTCATGGCAGTTTCAGTTGTAGTCGTGGTATTCGCAGCTGTAGTCGTGGTATTTGCAGCTGTAGTCGTGGTATTTGCAGCTGTAGTCGTGGTATTTGCAGCTGTAGTCGTGGTAGTTTTAGTTGTAGTCGTGCTATTTGCGGTTGTAGTCGTGGTAGTTTTAGTTGTAGTCGTGGTAGTTGCAGCTGTAGTCGTGGTGTTTGCAGCTGTAGTCGTGGTAGTTTTAGTTGTAGTAGTTGCGGTTGTAGTCGTGGTAGTTTTAGTTGTAGTCGTGGTAGTTGCAGCTGTAGTCGTGGTATTTGCAGTTGTAGTCGTGGTATTTGCAGCTGTAGTCGTGGTAGTTTCAGTTGTAGTCGTGGTATTTGCAGTTGTAGTCGTGGTAGTTTTAGTTGTAGTCGTGGTAGTTGCAGCTGTAGTCACAGTAGTACCTGTGCAGGGACCCGCTTGACAACCACTACCACAATAATCTGGTCCTGTCCCACAGTAACCCCGTTGGGACAAACATAAGCTTGCATTAGAACAGCCCGAGCGAGCAAGCCTTCGAAGAATCAAGCTTTGCAGCTGAAACCTTTTATTGTAATTGTCGCCTTGAACATTAACGATTATATAAATATAAACGACAGAATAGATCAGTATCGACCAAGACATGTTTGTATACGTTCTTGCGAAAATCTCTTCTTTATTATCTAAAATAGCAAAAAGTAAATGATGATTATTATTATCATAACTATAATAATAAAGATTACATAAACGAAGAATCTATAAGAGTATCTTACATTTTATAAGGTGTAATATACAGGTTGATTATATTATTGTTGATAGTTTTGTTTAGTTTGCTCTATTTTTACAAAAATTTGGATGTGTTATTTTGATAGAATTGAATAGATCATGAATTACTTTATCGACTTACATAACTTTTATTTTATTTATTTTTGCATCTTTTCGAAAAATTTGTTAAATTTCAATAAATTCTGCTTCGAAACAATTGCACACTCATATTGTAGTTCAGTAAAGTTTATTAATGATGAATTTTGCTTTCGTTAGAAGAAATTGATCACAATTAAATGTGTTGACAATACTAAATAGTACTGATTTTAATTTGGAGAGAAAATTGGATTTTACTATCGAATTTTGGTTTCTTTTTGTTTTTATGCAAACCAAATCTATATTACCTTTCGCTAAAATTCACTGCCAAGACATGACATAAGTCTTATCAAAATTAAGTAACTTAAATCGATTGAGAAATCAAAGCTCTATTCAGCTATATATCAAAGAAAAAAATGTTTAAATGTTTGAAAAACTAATATTTCTTTGAAGAAATGTTGAAAGCCATATATAGAAAAACTTTTCGAAAACATTCTTTAGAAAATCATCGAAGTTTGTAGTAAACATAGAGGATAAGTCCAATAAAAAAAACAAATGGTTAGGTAGAGAAAAGAACAGTCTGATATTCTATTTGAAAATAAAAGGTTTCAGTGCCTCAGTCGATCGTAAAAAAGATTATCTAAGAAATGGTTTAAGATTTATTGAACAAAAGACCTGTTCCGGGTGCTTTTCGAAATGCATCAAGTTTTTCAACAAGGTACGAATTAAATAAAATAGCAACTATGCAGATCAATAGAGTAATTTGTGCTCTATCCAACTATATTAAAACACAAAAACATCCGAGATTTTCTACAAATAGAGCAAAACGATGAAGAGTAACGTAATAAACCTATATATTAGTAAACGAAAACATGAAGAAGATGATGGTTGAAGAATAACGAGAGTTTAAAGTGGATCGACTCTGAAGTGACTAATACTGTGCACTTTTTTTTCTCAAATCAATGAAATCGAAAACTAGAAGCGAAGAGAAACATGTAAAAAGCAAGTGTTTTTATATTACTGTTTGTTGTTGTTATTATTGATCAGTCAATGTTCAAATCCTATGTTTCTTACATGAAAATTAAGGGTCATGTAAATAGGCATATGTGTCGATCATGGGCCAAATGGGCTTCTTTCCATTGCTGCAATAAATTTCATCGTTATGTCATGATTATCGTGGGATGTATCTCGCATGAAAATAAGTAAACAAAACGTTAGAGAGAAATAAGTCATGCATTAAACAATGCATCATTCTCACCTTGCTACTGTTTACTGCATTTAATTCGGTTTCATTCGATTGTATTTGCAAAGTACGATCAAAGTACATGTATTTAACACGCATCATAGTGAAGGAACATTGAAAATTGAATTTTACATTCTATGATTTTAAGTCGATTCATTGGGTTGTAGTTTATGTTGTGATCGATCTTTGCAGAATGTTACTTTCATATTTCGCTCATTTATTAGGAATTCTTGAACTTTTAGAAAGGAGGAGGCGCATATGAGATCAAATAGGTCCACTAGTACTTTCCTTGGTCAATTCCATCGAAGCATATTATCAAGAAAAATAATATGTTATGATTAGCATTGTAGTACTAAAGGGTGGTCGAAAAGTTTCGATTCTTCTCAGTAAATTGATAATATCTATGACAAATCTATAAATGATTAATCAATTGAAATATTTAATTTTGTAGCGAAAGACTAAAGCTATCATTTGATAAACAGGAGATACTTTGAAATGCATAAACTTAGTAAAATATTACGGTGATTTTACTAATCTTGATTGAATGTTTTCATCTGACACTTGTTCAGAAAAATATTTTTTTAAATTTCTTTCAATAAAATATCCAAATGATTTGTAAGTTTATCAGATTGACATTTTGTATAAATATCAATAATTAAATTTTGTAATGAGTTTTTCTTGTTTTCGAAAGATTGCTTTTAATTGTCTTCAAATATTTCTAATCATTTTCTCACATTTTTCTGCACTAAAATTTTCCCAAATGTCAATAATTTTTTCTTTGACATCTTTATATTTATCTAAACCTTGTCGAATGATATCTCATAAATTTTCTATTGGTCATATCTCATATCTATTTAGCTTTACACTAAATACTGAAGATTTTTAAATAAAATTGTTCGAAAGATAAATCGAAGTAATTGATCTCTTAGAGAATAAATTGACAATAGTCAAATTTATGAAATAAGATTGTCAATGTGAAAGCCTTTAACAACATGAAATGTTATAAAACTTTAATTATAATCAATAAATATGATGAATATTATTGAATTGAAATGATAAGTTTGATAGAAAAATTTTTATGAGCAAAAAACATGCCGCTATTATAAAATTTTTTTTTAAAATTTTCTCAAATATTGTAAGATGAAAATATTTATTCAAGATCAGTAAAATGATCGAAATATTACACTACATTTATTCATCGTGAAGTGTTTCTTTTTCAGATGATAGTTCTATTCTTTCTTTACAAAATTATATATTTCAATCAAT